CATAGCAGAGGATGGGAATGCAGAAAAGAGCAGGATGCTGTCGAAAGATTGGCAGATTTTTACGCAGGGTTCCAGCACAGGCCAAGAAGGAGATTGAAGGGCTCTGACTCAAATAAGACCCACTCTCTTTATTTCTCACTCCCTTGACAATTATAACTGAGTACAACTTTATTGCCATGGCAACACGAAGAAAGTCTACCAATGATTTGATATCCAGAGCTTGGAAATAAACAGCTGCATGGTACCAATTTTATTACATAAAGCAACGTTTATATAAACACAACTGGGCTTAAAACTCATTTGGCAAGAATTAAATATTTTCCATTTATTCTAGAGACATTTGTAGAGTGCCATGGCTGTGGTGGAAACATAAATAAAGCATCATCACAGGACAGAATTAATTAATTGCCTGAAATAATTTTAAAGCTGTAAGTGAAAGATCCTATCTTTATTAATGGCATTCTTTTCTCAAATCAGCAGATTTTGAAACCTCACAAGCTTTTGACTCATCTCTCCTGTGCACTGCTAGAAATCTTATTTGACTCATGTTGTAGCCACTCTAATTCCAATCCTTGTCACTTCACTCCTGAGTTTCAGCAACACTCTTAGAGCCGAACTTCTTAACTTCTCTCCAACCTAGCTAGCTTTGTACAGTAGTCTGTTTTCTATACTATAATACATTATGTTGGGAATATATCTTATTATATAATATACTACTGGCTTATTGCGTTAGTCTTGTATAACCAACTAGGATGAAGAACCAACTAGAGAATAGGAACTATGTCTTTCGCATTTATATCTTCTATGGCACCTAACATGATTATTGGTACACAGCATGTTGCTACAGGAAGTCTTCCGTGACCTAAATCTGGGCTAGATACTTCTCCTCTACACAGCGGTGACACACTGCTGTAATCCCAGTTACATTATAAGTGCATTAAAACTGCCTGTATTATGTTCGTTTCTTTTTGTTTCTCTATAGACTATGGGAGCAGAGCCTATATTTTTTTCTGGTTCATCATTGACTCTCTAGTACCTAATCCAGGTTTTGATTACATGTTATGTGCTTAATAAATATTTTTAGATTGATTTTTTGATTTGTTGTTGGTTGTTACTGCAGTAAGACAGTTAAGGAGGCTGGGATAAACAGACCAAATGGAATCGATAGCATCATATTCTTTTGTTTGACTTGGCTTTAGGTACAATAGATCAACATAACCTAAATATTATACTGATCCAGATAACTAGCATTTGGCTATATTTGCAACTGTATAATGTTAAAATTATCATATTTTCTATACCTGTTTAATTGTCTAAAATTCTAGCTCATGGAGTGGAAAGGACAGAATTTTTTACTTCTGCGTATCTCCCTCAGTTCCTACCTCAGTGAGTGTTTCTTGATTTGACGTCGTTAAATGCAGTTTAAAAAGAGTCTGTGTTCTAATGTATCTGCGTAGTGCTAAACATCTGTTGCTTCCTAACAAGTGCTGCATTCATTTTAATGGCACTGGTGCACAGAGGTAAACAGAGCCTTGGCAGGCCTTCCATAAGGGAAACTGTGTTTGCTTCCTTCATTAATTACTAATGGAGCATTAAGACACGCATTTTGCCTTGAGCCAAGTTGGATAATTCCTGGCACTTAATGCTAGGGTGCTTTCAAAAGTCAAGACATGTATTGACACACCAGAGAGCCTGCCCTATAGCAAGCACAGTGGGGGCTATAGTGCCAAGATTATATAAAGCTTCAAATATATCAATACCAAGTGTACTGATGTGTCTGTTTAACCTCTGCATCTATTGGGTTAATGTGGAATAATATGCATCCCCACAAAATCTCTGAAGGTAGCCATCACAGATGAACTGGATGAATCATCAGAAAGATACAGAAAGGTTAAAAATAAAAGGATAGTAAAAGATTTACCAATTAAACACAAATCAACAGAACGAGAGTGGCAAGCTAATAAAAGAAATACAATCTGTGATTTATCAGTTTATATTTAGCAGCCAGTTACCAACACAATTAAAATGAAACATTTATACCCTTGGATATGCCAACTAGCATAGCATCAAAATGACAAAAGTTAAAAACAGTAAGAAATAAGAGAATGACAGTCACTTATTGATAGTAGTAGATTTTAACATATAGCCATCAGGTTATGATAGACTAAAGAGATAAAATATGAATATGGATATAAAATAATATAATTTAAATGTTGATAAATTGGCTATAGTTGGATGTTTATGGGTTATGTAAAATAACTTATATTAAATATTCACATGGAAAATTTCCAAAAATAATGATATGGTAGTTTACAAAAGAAATACCATTTTTTGTAAATGCAGAAACTTTAGTTTCTCTCATTACAAAGCAGTCACCTAGATTTGGGCTAGATAAGTCTCATTATTCTCATCACAAACCACTCTCATCACAAAGCAATCAAATATAAGTGTAAACAAAATAAACACCACTTGATGCCTGAATCTGGGGGCCAGAGGAATTAGCAGAGGTAAGAGGGTCCTTTTAAGGTTAAACGTTAATCAATACAGTACACAAAGACAGAGTGATGCAATGTCACTTCAGAGAGACAATATGATTCCCAGGACACTAAGATCTAGTCATGATTCTACTGAATATATTAACATTTCCAAGGGGAAAAAAAATGTGTCAATCCAATGAAGAGCTGGTTCAGCCAAAAAAACAAACGCAAGTACCAGCGTTCATCCAGGTACAAGGGAGCCTCATCCAGCTGGACTTAAAGAATCCAGCCTGTTGGCAAGATCCTCCTTCTTGAGAAGATGGAAGCATGGCATTATTTTTGCCTGATTTTGCTCAAATTTCATGCACGCCAAGGCATCTTTTGATTGTAAACCAGCCTCTCCGGTATAGGACTGCGTACACCGTGATTGTGCATTAAGAGAACTCTGAGTGTAGGGCTCCTATGTCCCCAGGGAGTTAATAAATATGAAATCCTTCTAAGAAATGGTCTGCTCTGGTGCTGGAAAAGGAAGCTTCATGAGCCTTATAGAATGTTAAGGCTAAAAGAAAAGTAAGTCCAGAAATGAACATGCATTGGTATGTGTAGTAAAACAAGCTATGCAGGATAAGTTGTTCTTATTTACTGCTGTGCTCTGAGCTCTGAGTAGCTTTTGGTATGTATGAGACACTTAAGTATTTGTTAAACACATGAAACAAAGTAGGAAAGGACAGAATTATTTAACAAATGCTGGTGGGATAATTGGATAACAATTTCACATACACTAAAATAAATAACATGGATTAAAGAGTTAAGTTGCAAATAGAAAAATTAAAAGAATTATTCCAAATGTCAGTAGTACTTCTGAAGAGGCAACAATTTTGTGCATTTAGAAGGATAAGAAGAAATCACAAAGGAGAATAAAAATGACAAATCTGACTACATAAACATAAAAAACGTATGCTAGCAAAATACTATAATAATAACCAGAATTCAAAGTCAGAAAACATGGGAAAATATTTGCAGAAAATGTGACAGCCAAAGGCCATGTATTTTTATTATGTAAAATGTTCATACAAATTGATAAGAGAAACATTGAAATTCCAAGAGCATAAACAAACAGCTCACAAAAATGAAATTAAAAATAGTAAACACATGGGAAGATATTTGACCAAGTTGGTAATAAAAGACATTCAAAATAAAACAGTAATTTTTTTAAAATTTGAATTAGCAAAGAAAATATAAAAATTTTTATAAAACACAATGCTGGTGAGAATGTTGCAAAAGTGGTATTTCATATTTTGCTGGTGATGGTTTATAAATTGGTAACTCCTTTTTGGAAAACAGTTCGGCAATACGATATCAAGAGTCGTTAAAATGTTTTATAGCCTTTGACCCAGTAATTTGACTTCTGGGAATTTATCCTGAGGAAAATTAATCCAAAATATGGGAAACATTAAGTGTCTAAAATGAATTGGGAAACACTAAATGTCTCACAATAGGGAGTGGTTAATATGTTGTGGTACAGCTATTGGACTAAACACTACATAGCCATTTATAATCACAGGAATAGAGACCATGCAGCCAGATGGAAAGATGCTTGTGCTTTAGTATTAAATAAAAATGAATAGATACTTTGTATAAAAAGATACACAGCAAAGATTGGAGTAAACACACCAAATTTTAAGTGGTTGAGCTAAAATAACAAGACGACCGTGACTTTTTTCTTTATCTGTCATAATGTGCTTTCAGCCTGTCTAGCCGGATGGCCTTCCTTTCTTGTCCCCAGTCCTGCCCAAGCTCCATGCTCAGCTTCCAGCCCTACCCATCTGTGTTGGTGTCACTCAAGTTCCAGCCTTTCCAAGAAGCCCTCCCATCCCATCAGCCCAACAGCCAGATGGAACTCTCCCTTTCCTGT